TAAATTTTTCAAGAACCTTTTTAAAATCTTCCATAATGACTTCTTTCAATACAAGCTGGAAGCAATTTCAATCAATAAAGCAGCACAAGGCAGTACATTGAGCTACGATGATCCATAACCAATCGGCACCTGCAATTTGATTGATCTTCGAGATGTACCCTGCCTCTGTTCCCTGACTTTCCCTTTTCGTTGTACCGGGTGAAGTGAATATTCTGTGAATATTCTTCTGACAGTCAGTTTTTAGTCCTACATTATGTTGTCAATCAGATTTAATTGGTTCAAAAACCGTCGTAGTCCGTCTCATTCGCAGTCTTCATCTCCACATGCGCACCCATACATGCTCAAAATTTTCACTACGTATGTACTATGTACCCTGCAGCGTATCCTGATGAAAAAGGTTTTGTTGAAATCAGAGACACTTCCCAAGGTAGGCCATAGTCCATGGCCATATATTTAAGTCAAAACAGATGAAACAGATAAACACAATTCCAATCATCAAGTCAACCAGCATCGACAATCTGCACATAAGTTCTAAACCTATTTTAAGACTACTTTGTAATCAAACTTTGTATTGCAGAAGGGTGGAAGCTGCATGGAATTATGCGACAATTTCAGCGTGCATCCACGCTCGAAAGAGCAGGGTGAATTGTAACAATATCAATACCATAACAATAACGTAATTGCAGGTGTTGTGATTCGGTTGTCTCTTGTCTGTGCTGGCCATTGCGCGGGCGGTCCAGCGGCGGAACTCGGCTTCGCCGCCGTGGCGCGCTGGCAGTTGCTTCTCCTTCTTCTTCTGCATCCCATCGCCAACCCGCTCAGGGGGGCGGCGGCGCAGGCGGGTCGAGCGGCGGCTCGGTCCGCCCAACATCCTCGATGAAGGTGACGACCTTCGTCGCCGGGCCGCCGAGGACGTCGACCAGGCGAGGGTCGACACCCCAGCGGCGGCGGCGGGCCGCCTCATAGGCCGGACAATCGGTCAGTAGGTGCGCCGCGCTGTCGGGCTCCCCGCACGCGGGGCATTCGTCGTCGGCTTCCGGGCCAATCTTGTGGAGCGTGTCACGGGTCAGCGGTGATGTGCCGGTCCTCAGCTGGGACAGCGTCACCGACCCCAGCGCGCCAGGGAGTCGTGGCCAGGCGTGGGGTCCGGGTGCGGGTGGGCAGCGGTTGCCCTCTGTCGCGACAGCTCCCGGACATGGCGCGTGACGGCGGCCCGCGCACTCGACAGGTCGATCGGTGCGCTGTCTTGGTCGCCCGCCGTGGCCTCGCCAGCCAGGCGGTCGGCGGTTTCGTTGCCGTCCAGCCCGGCATGGCCTGGCACCCACTGGAGCACCGTCTCGGTGCCGTTCTCGGCGAGGGTGCTCAGCACTCAGCAGCCTCCACACCTCGGCGGCCAGGGCCATGGTCTGGTTAGCTGGGCCGCGGCCGAGTAGTTGGAGCCCAGACCTTGAGTCGGTGAGGAGGCGGACCGACTTGGTCGATGCCAACTCCCCGTCCTCCAGGCCGGCCACAGCCGCGAACGCCTCGCGCATGGCGGTCAGTTCTGCTCTTAGGCTGGAGCAGACCGCCCCTGCAGGAGCGCGCACGGTCTCTTCTCTGTTGAGGTGGTGGAACTGGATCAGCGCCTGCGCCGCCCTGTTTCGTCCGCCGCGAGCCGAGCCGTCCGACCAGATAGTGACGTCCGGGTGCGGTAGCTCTGCAATGGCTCGCAGGGCAGCTTCCCTGCGGACTGCAGGCGGGTCCGACCGGCGGGTGGCCACGGGCAGGTCCACCCTGAAGGTGATGCCGCCGTGGTGGCCCAGCCATGGCGGGTCGCAGCTGTAGAACGCCGAACCTGTAACACAATAGAATTGCAATTGTAACAAAGACCTGCATGGTCAGCACACATCTGCAGTGACTGTCATCCCAAGTTGGTATGAATTGGCACAAAGTTGGGTCATGGTAGCAGACGTAGCACAAGCTGTTGTGATATGCCATACCGTAGGACTAGGTCGTAGGTTGTAAATTTTAGGTGTAAGGCTGTAGGTTGTAGGTCAGGTTAGGTAAGGTTTGGTTAGAAAGACCCATTCTCGTGCATCGGGCAGCTTGTGCTACATCTACCTTACCAATACCCAATTTGGATTCCCAAAATTGATGGCAAACAGGCTTTTTGTATAACAAGTGTGGTTAATTGTTCTAATCCCCGCTGCAATGTGAGGGTAACTGCTTTTCTACAATCACAAAATTTGAATTCATATAGGTAGGTGTTTACATGTTCAGAAAATGATACAAAATATGACACAATTATAGCTGCAACTGGATAGTGGATACCAACCTCAACTAAAAGTTTCTGCAGCCTTATAACCTAACAAATGACTAAATTGCCAAAATAAATCCCTTAGTACAAAGGATTGACTCTAAAATAACAGAAATTTTGCATGCAGACCCTGAAATGGAGGGTTTATGAAAAGTAACAAAAATAAACATTCACTAATATCAATATGTTGTTATAAATTTCATATGTAGCATAAGCGCCAATACTGCCTTCATTTACAATGTTGCTACTGTTTTCCACTCACAAACGCTGCCCTCCGTGGACAGCAGCAGCAGCAGTGAAACGTCACCCGTGGTGTGACATCATCACCCATGACGTAATGGAAATCCAGTTGTTACCAAGGCCCGCCCAGAGCGAGACGAAGCAGCCTTGATCCTCCTGTATCAGTATCAGTATTGGATTATGACCATAGTCCATAGTATTAGTATAGTCACGGTCATAGTATCAGTGTTGCCGCGGCAAGATTTTACAGCGTACCAAGATCGCATCCAAATCGTACCAGATTGGCTGTTTCTGGCTGCGTACCGTACCAGATCTTAGAAGGTCAAAACGTTTTTAATTGTACTGTAAAAATAGCCATAATTACGGTATATTCATGCCAGGAAGTAATTTATGACCCATTTGACCCAGTAATTCAACTCATTCGTCTCCCCGCGTCGCCCCATAAAGGTAGAAAGGGGCTTCTGAAACACATGAATTCGGGCTTCTGAAAGCCCGAATTCATGTGTAGGTAGTAGGTGCCTAAAATTGGTCTAAAAATACAAAAATCGAAATTCTGCCTTCGAGAGGGGGAGGGGGGGGGCACTCCAGTCACCAGTGTACCGTTGAGACTGGCGATTGCACCAAGGATCCTAGCTTGTAATGAAGGAGTGAAAATTGCCACAGTATTATGATTATTATTTTTGTAGGGTGTCATTTAGTTTTCCAACCAAATCGCACACAATTTTGAATTTTGGGACACTAATTCAAACAATACTCTTTCCGTAGCACTTCGGCCGTCGACGTAACTCACATTTCACTGTTAACAATACAACTCCGATTCCCAACTCACGACACAAACTCTTAAATGGCCTTGGACACAACTGCGTCGGCCTACAGCCGGCGCCCGGCGGCCCGTCTTGGCAGCCGGCGTGGCGCGCGAATTTTCCACTTGTTTAGGTACCTCTGCTAGCACACAACAGGAATAAGTAGGGCCTATTAATAATTCCGAATATGATGCATTACAAATTATGATAAGAAACACCATCCCTTCTTACTAAAATATTTTTTTAGCTTGAACGAAATAATGAAAAGTCAAAAAATTCAAAAAAATGCATTTTGGCGAAAAAGTACCAGATTTCGTTCCGGCGTACCTCCGTACCAGAAAGGCCGAAAAAGTACCAGATCTGGTACTATAGTACCAGAACGGCAACACTGCATAGTATTCTATGACCGTGATTATGACAAGGCCGTATAAGAGATGTAGAATCATCCCGCAATTTCCAATGGACCGGTCGCTAAGCATTAGCGTGACGTCACTGGTGGATACCGCGCGGCGCCCGGCTCCAAGCCGTACGTCGGGTACAGTTGGCTTTTTATCGATACTATTACTGAACGTAACGACAACTTATGACTCTTACTAACTTTTTTACCCACCTAAAGCTGATTTCCTTGCCGATGGCGATACATTGCCGACCCGAGCCCCAGGGTTGACAATCTTGGGATATATGGGTCGGATGGGCGACCTCGCGACGGGAGAAGGAAAGATTGCAATTGTGTCCCGCACCGCCGATTGCATTCTCTATCTGCACCCGGAGGGGGGGCAGGGGGCACGTGCCTCCATCGGAATAGGGGGCCTCTCGGGCCCGAGGGGCCCTGCGACGCCAATTGGCGGCTGAGGGTCCACGCTAGTGGTGCCAATTTCATGAAATTTCAATTCCAATTCCGATCCAATTCCAAGAAATTGCCAAGTAAATTTCCAATTTTGTCCAAAGCGGGGGCTATTCCAATTTTTAACGATTTTTGCATTTTTGCGTAAATTTTAAAAGTGTTTAAAAGCGTTTTAAAGGCCTCCGTTTTAAAATTTTAAATTTTAAAGGCCTTGTGTTCCGATTAATTTCCAAAAAATGTTAAGAATTCCGTCCAAATTCCAAATTGGAATTGGACAAAAATTGGAATTCCAAGAAAAGAAATTCCGATTGGCACCAATAGTCCACGCTGGCATTTTCGACTCAAAAGGGCCCCACAGGGCTCGAAAGAACACCTTATGTGCTCCGAATAGCCACACAATAGCCACACTTCTCTCCATAAGAGCCACACACCGGCTTTTTATTGTTCCTTGTCGGCATTTGAGGGCCCCTTGCCGGCCTCTCAGGGCCCATTGGCGACCTCTGAGGGCTACTTACCGGCCTCTGAGGGCCCTTACCGGCCTATCAGCGACCAGCAGCTCAAAGGGTTCCACACACGCCTGTGATGACCCCCTAAACCAATGGTTGAAGGCCCCCACAACGGCGCCTGCGAGGGCCCTCACCGGCGGCTGTGAAAGCCCCAAAGCGGTGCCCAGCTGAGGGTCCCACACTGCGGGCACACTGCCACCTCTGAGTTCAACCGACACCCCTGCGCCACCACACCCGCGTGTGACCAGTGTGGTGTGATATTAGTCCGTAATCGGAGCTCCTTCCCCACTCCAGTGTAGCTGGTGTGAAGTGAGCTCCGATTACGGCCGACGGACAGGAGAGGACTAATATCACACCACACTGGTCACACGCGGGTGTGGTGGCGCTGAATGAAGTTCCAAAGGCCCAAACCAGTGCTTCTTAAGGCCATACCTATATCGGCGGCTCTGAGGGCTCAACGCCAGAGCCTCTGACGGCCTAAGACGGGACCTTCGCATCGGACGGCCACTCACCGGTGACTTTTGAGGGCCCCGCACCGACGACTCTGAGGGCCCCCACCGGCGTCTGAGAGTACCTTGCTGGTCTCTGAGGACTCCACAGGGCTCCTGAAGACACCGCAGACCTCTTAACCCTATTAGTGGCAGGGGGGGGGGTTGTTTTCATCCACCCCTCAGGTTTTTCGGGAATATCTCCGAAACCGCTGAAGCTACGATGCTTAAATTTTCTGACTTTTCCTAAAACTAAATTGGGCACATTCCCTGAAAATTTCAAGTTCATAACTTTACCAAGGGCGGCTCCAGAGCACTGGGAATTGGGGGGTCCTATTCGTGAAGCGAGTCATTTGGGCGATGATCACGATGCTGATGTATTATAACTGTATGCACCAGTTTTATCATGTGATAACATATACAAAGTTATTGTGCATCCTCTTTTGACACGTTTTTGCTATAATAGGCGGATCCAGGCGTCCAAAAAGTGTCGCAAGGCTTTGCTCAAAGGACTATTGCTACAAGCGCGTATGGCCTTGTTCAGGTGCGTGCGGCCCGCTGCAGATCCGGGTTATTAATTCAACTGACCGGTTCTGCAGAGGTTTCCGCGTCGTTCCTCGAATAAGCTTATGCGCTTGCCGCATGACGCTCCTTATATGATCGCGCTGTGCGTGCAAGATCCTGTATATAAGTGTGCGTGAATTATCAAATACACAGAGTGCTCGAGACCGGCTTTGGGGACGCATCGGCACACCGAACCTCCAAGTAAGTCGGCAATTCCACCGGCCGACATAATGGTGGCAGCGGTGGGATTATGTGCCCTACTGTGTGTCCCCCTGCGTGTCCCCTATGTGTGACGTACATGCCCGTTTAGGATTATATAGGGTGTATTTTTCTGGTCCCAATTTTTTTTCCCGGTGCATTTTAGATACTAACCATGCCAGACGACCATATTCAGCCTCTCCCTAACACCCTCAACATTCATCAAATCGGTACTTTTATCCCCAACTTCGACGGTTCGTTCCCCATTCAAGATTTTTTCCGGGACGTCAGAGAAGCCGCATCCCTAGGAAATTGGCCTGACGTGGTCTCTATCAAAGTTGCCAAATCTAAAATGCAAGGTCATGTCGCTGACATTGTCCGCACTCGTGTGGCTCTGTCCAATGCAGAAACGTTGAATGACTTTGAAACTCTTTTAACGAACGCTCTTCATACGGATCGACCTATCTCCTCCCGTCTGCAAGATCTTATGACGTGTATACAACATCCCTCCGAGTCTGTAGACGCATTCGCCTGCCGCCTCAGAACTAAAGCAAAGTCATTGACAGAGTGGGACGCTACCCCAGACACCCAACAACTCAAAAACCGTACTGTGGCCGCCACCTTTGTGAAAGGGTTAAAGCCTTCCATCCGTCAGTACGTGCTTCCACAGAACCCTGCCGATTTCGATTCCGCGGTGACTCTAGCTCGGACACATGAACTTAACAGCTCTTTGCTGCCCGATGCTACTTCCACCCTCGCCGCATCTTCAACCCAGGCACAGTCTAGTGGCGCAATGGACGATCTCCAGCGCCGTGTGGCCAGCCTCGAGCTTGCCACGTGTCAGCAGGCCACCCGTGGCCGTGGTCGCTCTTCACAACGCCGACCCAGAGGTGGTTATCCACAGCGTGGCCGTGGCCATGGTTTCTCCACACCACCCACCACCAACTACCACCAATCATCATACCGCCGATACCAGTGCATCGACTCGAGACGTCCCCGTCGACTTCTGCTCGCGGACCATCCAGAGGTCCCCTCCACCAACGGCCGTCGCTGTCGACTCCAGCCAGTTGCCACCACAATCACTGGCCGCCAGCAGTCGACAGTACCGCCCGCTCCAGCCGGCCGCGCCTTCTGTCACTGTCCACTGACGGTGACCTCATCGGCGCGGCTCTGTCATGGGCCGGGACCTCGGACATCAAGATCCGGAAAACCTACACATCTCCGCGCTGCGAGCAAGTCACCCACCAGCTCGGGACGTCTACTTCTTCACTCGGTCGTGTGTTGTTCTGACGCCTCCTATTGTCGGCTCATGGGGGAGGGGAGGTAATGTCGCAAGGCTTTGCTCAAAGGACTATTGCTACAAGCGCGTATGGCCTTGTTCAGGTGCGTGCGGCCCGCTGCAGATCCGGGTTATTAATTCAACTGACCGGTTCTGCAGAGGTTTCCGCGTCGTTCCTCGAATAAGCTTATGCGCTTGCCGCATGACGCTCCTTATATGATCGCGCTGTGCGTGCAAGATCCTGTATATAAGTGTGCGTGAATTATCAAATACACAGAGTGCTCGAGACCGGCTTTGGGGACGCATCGGCACACCGAACCTCCAAGTAAGTCGGCAATTCCACCGGCCGACAAAAGGGGGGTTATGTTTTACCTCCCAACATAGGTGCCCTGACACCGCCTATGCATGACCAATACAATTGTAGTCGTTCTCTCATAAGAAAATTGTAACATAACAAGACCATTACCACCCTTTTTAGAAACAGTACCAACAAAAACCTTATTTGCTATACTTTTTGTGTACCCCAATCTCAATGATCTGTATCCGCCTATGATTTTTGAAAATGCATATTTTTAGGATCCATGTGAATTCCTGGTTCATTCTTTATCGATCGGCAAAAGTTGCGTTAAGATTGGTTCAGAAACCTGGCCGTGATAAGCAGTCTAAAATGTATCTGCAATTTGCCCGTTTTTACCCCCCTCAACCCCCCTTTTGACATTTTCTTAGTTTTTTTTTTTAGAAATGTAGATCACGTTGAGCGAAGTCGAATGCCGTTTGAATTTTGAAAATCGGCCCGTTAGATCTCGAGATATCAAGGGGGGGTCGTAAACAGCCCCCCCCCCCCTGCCACTAATAGGGGTAGCCAGGAGCCTGCCACTAATAGGGTTAAGGGCCCTTTGTCGGTCTCTGAGAGCCCCTGTCGGCTTATAAAGGGTTCGAGCCAGCAGCTCTAAGGGTCCCACACCCGACCATGACGACCCCACCCTACACTGCAGTGTCTCTGAGGGCCCACAATGGCAACTGTGAGGACCCTCACCGGCGCCTCTGAGGGCCACACATTAGCACCTCAGAGGGCCCACAGCGGCACCTCCGGGGCCCCGCACCAATGCCTCTGAGGGCCCACACCAGTGCCTCCAAAGGCTTCATAACCGGCGGCCCTGAGGGCACTACACCGGTGATTTTTGGAGGCCTACCGAAGGCACAACACAATCCCTTAGTCTCGCTGAGTTTTCATCCCAATCCCATACCGGCCTCTATCCCAATTCCGGCTCTAGCAATCCCCCCCCATGGGTCAGCGGCGCCGCGCCGGTGTCGGTGCCGGGGGCCAGCGCCATCGGGGCAGCAGTCGGCCACGCGCACTCAATGGTTAGCGCTTAGCACCGGCGGTTAGCGCACGCCCGGCGTGTTATCGGCCGTGAGCCGCTCCAAAACGGCTGCAGTAACTGGTCGATATAGGCAGTAAGCAGATGAGGAGATGCAGGTGGATTGATAACCGGTAAGCTTTTGTATTTTACGAGGGCGAAGGGTCGAAGTCGGCTGCTAAGCCGTGGGCGGATTTTATCAGATGCCGGTTCATTATGACCTTTATCCTGGTCCTGGTCCGCTGACGCACTCTTGGAGAGCCGAATCACAGCAAAACTCCATCCAAGACTGTATCTATACGGCTTACGCTTTCAGGGGCCCGGGAACGATTTTCAAGTTGGGGGGGCGAGCCTAAGGGCCTGTTCCAGCGCCTCCAGTAGAAATTCTTGACTGGAGGCTCTACCAGAGGTTTCACTGGAGGCGCTGGAACGCAATCTGGAGATTTCTGGAGATTGGCGTCATAGATACCAAAAGAATGACGATTGTTCTCTCTTGAAACGCGAAATTTGTTTTCAATTTTAGTAAAAAAGATAAACAAAATTATAGCAATGTAATTTTCTTTACATTCAAGTTGTAAAAATCTCAGTCAAAAGTTCTTTGTTTACATTAGTGATTGTCACATGTGCGCCATAATTGTAGACCAGAGGCTCCAGAGAAATTTGGACCTCCCAACTCTCTGGAGGCTACTGGAGGTTTCTGGAGCTTTGGCGAGAGCTTTCTGGAGCTTTCTGGAGGCGCTGGAACGCTCTCTGGAGGATTCTAGAGCTTTCTGGAGGTTTCTGGAGGCGCTGGAACAGGCCCTAAAATGCCTGACATGATGCATATGAAACAGTGGCGTAGCTAGGGGTCTACGGGGACACGTACCCCCCCCCCCCCCATCGGGTTCAAAGGGACCCTCGGGTCCGAGGGGCCCAGCGGCGCCATTTGACCGCTGAGGGTTAACAAATAACAATGGCCATACTTCCACTTGTTTGTTTGTTTGTTAATTGGGGCTTTAGGGCGCGCCGACTACTTAGGTCATTTTGCGCCCATAGCGTCGTTTTAATAAAACAAGTGTGTCAAAAGAGAGAACCTTCTAGATACGAGTACTAAAAAGTAAAAGACTCGATATAAAAGAGCAAGGTAAGATAAAGCAGCGCAAGAGTGTCGTATTAGACAACTGACTAGATGTAAGGACTAGAGAGGACTAGTTGGTTTTAATGTCAGGTCGAGTAAATCGCTTGGAAGTTGATCGAACGGATAAAGGAAAAAATGTTGCCGGATAAAACCCAGGGTGAGTCGTCACCCAGAAGGTGGCGGATAGTGGTATCCGGAGCGATGCGCCCGAGATAGCGTGTCCGGTTCGGTTCAGCGAGAGGACAAGATAAAAGCACGTGAGAGACAGTGAGAGGCACGGCACACCGACTGCATGTGGGTTGTTCCTCTCCGCGGAGGAGATAGCCATGAGTCGCGTACGTATGACCAATACGTAATCTGCAGAGGGCCACTTCCTGG